GGTCTCACATTATGTACAACAGGTTTTTGAGGAAAATATTGATCACATTGATAAAATATAGGTCACAGAATCMTGCGTCGTAAATATGATACAAATGGCGATACATTTTTAAAAAATGGCCGGAGATAAACCCAACTTTTAGCTTCTTTTCTCTTTTAAAAATCGGTTACATTTCATCAGTGGTGGTGGCAGACATTTTAAATCACAACAATCACAAAAAGTGACCGACGGCTGGACCACACCTGTCAGATCATCTTACAGTGTGTAGATCACTGCCAGGATGGACATTCAGCTCACACGGTTTTACAAAAGTTTGGTTTCCAACAAGCAAAGAGCCTCTGSGGTGGTTTCAAACTGACGGCAGCCAATCACAGAGCGGCTCAGGTGTGAAGGAAACTGTGCACAGTCAGGTGAGAGACTCTGAGCTCAGGGCTGACGTCATTAAAAACCAAACAAGCCCAGATCTGAGCGTGCAGCAGAGGATGTGAGGTTACGCAACAGATTTCAGTAAAGAGCACGGGTCGGGGTCACAGCGTGGCTCAGTAACAGATGCTGGCAGGACGTTTAAAAACTGCCGGCAGACGAAATAATCCCACCGTGGATCTGAGGGCCAAACAGGAAGATTAGACCGTAAACCACCTGAAACTGGAATAATCCCTCACCCGGGGATGCCGCCGGACTCCAGCTTGTTGGCGATGTCCACGTCCCAGGACCAGACGTCAAACTGCCACTTCCTGAGTCCCAGCACGCCGCAGAGCACCGAGCCCGAGTGGATCCCGATGCGCATGTCGATGTCGTGTTTCGTACGTGACCTCACGTATCTGGAGGAAAAGTTAAAACCAAAACATGCGAATGAGACTGACAGGGTGTGCTATCAGGTTATAAACTTGAGTTTAGGCTGTAAACTTGGTAAAACACACACAAAAATAAAAACATACAAAGAAAAACTGTTCTCCTACAGAATAATGTAGCTCAGTCTAAACAGTGCTGGTTAAGACCAAGTTTGTTAAAATAAAAAATAAAAACAAATATTTTCAATTCATTATTTGTGTTAAGAAATAGTTGTTGATATTATTTAATGWGCTCTAAAAGTGTCACAATAGTATAAGCTTTAATTTAACAGTTCATTTTAATATAAATGCTTGTAAGTCATTGTTAATAAAGTTCATTGTTAATAAAGTTCGTTGTTAATAAAGTTTATTGAGGTTGTACGGTTTAGTCCTTGGTGTTAGCTTAAATTGGTCCAATGCTGTGATTAACTCAGAGTTACCAACGAAGTAAAGAACTTTTCAATGTATGTACAAGGTAAGTGACTTTGTATGTACATKTTGTACTGCTTCAGTGTTAAACTAAAGAATGCTAAAAGTGTAATTAGCGCGTTAGCATGCTAGYGGACTTTATTATCATGCTAGCGGATTTAATAGCACATTTATGCTAGCGGACTTCAGTGTTAATAGCACATTAGCATGCATTAACATTAGTTTAATTGATATATATTACATTATTATTATATAGGTATATTATTATATTTATGGTTTAATATAGCATATTAGCATGCTAACGGACTTAAACAAAAGCTAGTTAGCGCTTTGTTAGCGCCTCTCGTTGCTAATGCTACATGCTAGCTAAGCTGAGAAGTAAATAAGCCTTTTATAAATTAAATTGAGAAGACTAAAAKAATTAATTAATTAATTCACGCAGTAGACCAGGAAGTGCCCGCCTGGGTCCTGAGAGGTCTCCTTCAGGACGTTTCATTTCGAGGTCGCGCCAGGATCTTCATCATCTTCCTCATCTCTGCCCTGCTGCTGATGATCTCCCGGCCTTTATCTTTTTTACATGTTTCTTCTGAAACGGAGGAACTGTGAGTAAACCAAACCAAACACAGCTTTTATTTCAGTGGTTTGCTTAGCAGCTGTTTGTTTTGGTCCCTCAGGCCTGCACTGTTTAGTAAACTGAAGTTTTATATTATCTTGGAAGAAACATGGGGCTTGATCAAGGTGGAGGCAGTGTCATTTAAATATTTAGAACAGGTATATAT